CCATTTATTTGATTTGATTAATTAATTTATTTTTACCTCTCCTGGCTGTGCTCAGAGATCATTCCTGGCGGTGCTCAGGGGACCGTATGGGGTACGGGGGCAATCGATCCCGCGTGGGCTTCGTGCGCGACAAGTATGTAACTATTGCTCGCGCCGCAACGTCATTTATTCTTGTGCTTAATTTTCTCATCTGCAAAATCTGAAGATGATAACCCTTTTGCAGAACTTTTCAAGCTAACATAGGATAAGGTGTGTGGATTGTCTGAATTTCTGTAAATCGGTTGGATTAGCTTTATACGTTGTAAGTGATAAACAATGGTGGTTTTATTATTTTTAAAACCAAACTTCTGGAATCCCGGTTCTATTTAATTCGGCGGGGGTGGGGAGATGGGGGTGGGGTGGGTTGAGGTTTCTAATCCCTGAATCAGTGTTAGAACCACAGTGAAGATTGTATTCTTGGAACCTCTTAAACCCTACTTCTGCCACATAGTGACCTAGTCATTTCACCTTTAACAATGTTTACTAATCCGTCAAAAAAAAAGTATCTTTTCTTCCGACTCTTAGAGGCAATTAGAGATAATATTTTAAACACTGTATCAGTTATTTATTGCTGATGGCTGGGTAACCATCCCCAGACTCAGTGACCTAATCCAACGTTATTTATATTGCACCCAGATCTTTAATTTGGCCATTTAATTTGGTCCAGCTGGTGTCTGTTCCATTCAGTATCAGCTGGGGTTGCTGGAAGACTTGGGGCTAGGATCATCTAGCTCAATTACAAGTAACATGTTTGGCGGTTGGTGTTGGTTGCCGGCTGCTACCACTGGGCCTGCTGACTGGAATACACGTGGTCTCTGTGACCCGAGCTTCTTCACAACTTGTCAGCTGAATTCTCAGGGCAAGTGTTCCGAGTGAGTGAGAGGACCAGAACCCTGGCTGAACTACTGTGTCAGTTCTGCCACTTCACATTCTGTTCCTTGGAAGTCACTAAGGCTGACCTATATTCAAGGGGAGGCGACCTGAACGCCACCTTTATATTAGGATATGAAAGAATTTGTGGACTTAGTATCACAGGGCTGGAGCAATAGCACAGCCGGTAGGATGTTCGCCTTACACGCGGCCAACATGGCCCACCGGAGTTCGATTCCTCCGCCCCTCTCGGAGAGCCCGGCAAGCTACCGAGAGTATTCGATATGCCAGACACAGTAACAACAAAGTCTCGTTACTGGGCCCGCTCGAGTATCAACATACAGGAAAATCTACTCAAGCATGGGTGCTATCATAATTAGTCCCTGATCTGGATCCAATTTTCTAGGTTCTAGTTCTGGGTAGAACCTACTGTCCTGCCAGGTTCTTTAGGGGTTCTTCATTACAACCACTTTATTATAAAACCTTAGTTCCCAATTCCTTCTCCAGCCTCAATTTCTCCTTGTAAAAGGAGAAGACAATTACCAATAGACATAAAGATTTACTGAAGAAAAATCTATTAATTTATTTTACCTGTGCAAAAGCTAGATGCTTGAAATTGTCTTGTCGTAGTTTGGAATGTTACTGCTCCTGGGCAGGAATGAGAATTTGTAATTCCAATGTCCCGTTTTTGCAATTAGTAATCAATTTTCAAATACTAGTCCTGGAGACTTCTTTGAGAGTAAGAGAAATGATTAGCTTGGGGCTGGAGTGCATTTGCCTGACATGCAGCCGACCTGGGTTTGATTCCCAGCATCACGTGTTCCCCAGAGCACAGCCAGGAGTAACCCCTGAGCACTGCCAAGTGTGACCCAAAATGCCAAAAAAAAAAAAAAAGAACTTAGACTAGTTTTAGAATAAATTTCATATTATTGGGACATTGAGTATCAGATTATTATTTATGGGCCGAAGAGAGAGTTCAGTGAGCTGAGAGCAAACTGCATGCAGGACGCTTTAGTTATATCTCCAGCTATATATTCCAGTTATATATTCCATTTACCCGAAGCACTGCCAGTATGGCCCAAAAATGTAAAAATAATAATTTAGTTTGGGGGCCACTGTGTGGCTCTTGAACTTCTCTGATTTGCTCCTGACAGTGCTCATAGGACTGAGCAGTGCTGGGATCTAACTAGTGTCTCAAACCATACATTCCAGTCCTTTAAGTCATCTCTCCAGCCCCCTGTAAATTATTTTAAAACTATGTGCTCAAATAACTTCTTGTAAGAAGCAAAAGGTTGCTTCCCTTTTCATGCTAAAGTGAAATGTCATCTTCTTTGGATTGGAAAACTAGTACAAAGATTAAGCTGTTTGCTTGCCTTGCATGCTGCTGATGCTGGTTTGAACCCCAGCACTGCATGATTCCCTAAGCATCGCCAGGGGTGATCCCTGAGCACCACCAGGTTGGCCTCAGAACAAAACAAAACAAAAAAAACCCCTAAAATTTAATTTCAAACATTTACATGTAACAAAAATGCAAATTACCTGAGCCTAATCCAAAGACCCAGCAAATTTTTATTTTAACATAAAATCATTTAAAAAGGGGGGGAGCAACTGAGACTTAAACCTGAAAGCTTTGTAACTTATCCCACAGTGATTCAATAAATAAATAAATTTTTAAAAAATTAAAAAAATAAAAAGGGTGGAGGGCATTTGCCTTGCATGCAGCCGACCTGGGTTCTATCCCCGGCATCCCATATGGTAATTCCTGAGTCCAGAGCCAGGAATGACCCATGAGCCTCACCAAGTGTGACCCAAAAAGAAAGAAACAAAAACAGAAAGAAAAGGAAAAAAACAAAAAACTGAGTGCGGAGCCAGAAGTAACCTGAGCATCACCGGTGTGAACTGAAAATCAAAAAAGAAATAATTTTAAAAGGTGGGCACAGAGATATCTCTTATATCAGGTAAAGCTGCATGCACCAGGCCACCAGATTCAATCCCCAGCATTACATACGATCCCTGAGCCCCGCTAGGAGTGATCCCTGGTTGACAGTGCCAAGAAATAAACTATGAGCACCACCAGGTGTGGCAAAAACAAGAAAAACAAAACCCAAACACATAAATTCTTGATTATTTAAATACATGGTGCTAGCCTTTGCATGCTCCTCTGGAAATCTTATGAAAATCCAAATGACTACAAAGTACAAGGGAACAGCATATAAAAATGTCCTATTTAGGCCAGAACAATAGTAGAGTGGGTAGGGTGTTTCCCTTGTACGAAGCTGACGCCGTTTCAATCCCTAGCACCCCTCGAATCTTGCAAGAGTGAGCCCTGAACACAGAGCCAGGAGTAATCTCCAAGCACTGCCAGTGTGACCACAAAACAAAATGTAGCAGAGCAAAAGTACACCGGTAGGCTGCTGACCTTGCACATGACTAACCCAGGTCCTAACCTTCGATACCCGCATGGTCCGCTGATCCCTGACTGTAGAGATAGGAGTAAGCCCTGAGCACTGTCAGTTGGGGATAGAACCCAGGTCGGTCGCATGCAAGGCAACTGATCCAAACAAATCAAAAAAAAAAAAAAAAAGGAAAGGGGGAAAATGTTCATTTTTAGCAACTGGAGAGACAGTACAGTGAGCAGGGCACTTGCCTTGCATGCTGCCAGCCCAGGTTAAATTCCCTGGCATCCCATCTGGTCCCCAATGCCCTGAGCATCACCGGGAATAATTCCTGAATGCAGAGCCAGGAGTAACTTCTAAGCATGGCTGGTTTGGCCCTAATACAGCAAAACAAAAAGCCCCATCTAGTCCTTCCAAGTCCTATTCTTTAATTTCAGGGAGGACACAAATTAAAGGGGAAGGGGCTGGAGCGATAGCACAGCGGGTAGGGCGTTTGTCTTGCATGCAGCCGCCCCAGGTTCAATTCCCACCATCCCATATGGTCCCCTGAGCACTGCCAGGAGTAATTTCTGAGTGCATGAGCCAGGAGTAACTAACCCCTGTGCATCACCGGGTGTGACCCAAAGAGCAAAAAACAAAAACAAACAAAAAAAACAAAGGTGGAAAGGTAATTATTTACTAACCCTTAATACCTATGGCCCCTCCCCTCCCATCCCTTCCTTTGGTTTTGCACCATACCTGGTGTTTTTCAGGGATCACTCCTGGAAGTGCTGGAGGGAATTCTATGTGGTGCCAGGGATGAAACCAGGGTTGGTCTCCTGCAAGGCAAGCACTTCAACCCATCCTCTCCCTCCAACCCATTAGTGACAGGTGTGTGAATGGAAAACAAGTTTTTAAGTTTTTTTTTTAAAAAAAAAACTTAGAAAGATGTGCGGAGAGAGAGAGGGGTGTGGAAGAAGTGTGTGTTCAAGACAGAACACAGGCGTCTCCAGAGTGAAAATAAGCAAAGAAACAAATAAAAGCTAGCGGGCATACATGTTCCAGGGAAAACAAGAGCAAGCTTATTAATGACATATATATGCATATATTTATACACACATGATATGTAATTATACATCACTGTATGTATATAAAATGTAATAAGATTATAACATAATTAGATATATGTAAAATATTAAATAACATATATAACAACAAGTCTCACAATGGAGACGTTACTGGGCACGCTCGAGCAAATCGATGAACAACGGGAGGACAGTGCTATATGTAACTATAATATACATTATATATAATATATAATTGATATAAGTGATATACAGTTAGAAAGTTGTTTATGATTGCGTTTCAGTCATAAAATGTTCTTCCAACACCTGTCCCTTTACCAGGGTACATTTCCCGCCACCAATGTCCCCAATGCCCCACCCCTGCAACCTGCCTCTATGGCTCTCTCTCTCTCTCTCTCTCTCTCTCTCTCTCTCTCTCTCTCTCTCTTCCTTTTAGGCACTGTGGTTTGCAATACTGTGATTTCGGTACTGAAAGGGTATCACGCACCGCCTCCCCCCACACACATACACACACGCCGTTGGTGGCAAGCTTCATACCATGAGCCAGCCTCCTGGCCTTTTTTTTTTTTTTTTTTTTTTTTTTTTTTTTTTTTTTTTTACTGTTAGTGACATTTTACTTTATTTGCAAAGAATCAGACAGGAGCGAGCAGGGTGTTGCGAGCTCTAAACACGCAGAGCCGTGAATCACCAATCCTGCGAACTCCAATCGTGTCCTACCTACCCTCCGAATAGAGAGAAGCACAGGTAAGGACTCTCCTACCTGCCGATCGTTAAGTGACCTTTCAAAAGGAAGCGTTATAACGAGATACTCGGGGACCATTTAAGTCCCCGCGAGTGGCGGGGTGAGCGCTGCAGACGGTTCCCGCTCCCCGCCGCATCCGCGCCGCCTGGGAGAGGGGTGGCCGGGGCACCGTCCCCGTGCGCGTCCCCTGACAGGAACCGCATCCCCGGAGCGCACGAGGCGGCGCCGAGGGAGCCGCTCCGACACGGCCCCTTCCTCCGAAGAGAAGCGGCGAGCGGGCCGAGCTCCCGGGCGCGCTCTGCGGGCAGCCGGGCCGCCGACCCGCCCGTCCCGCCCGCCCCGCCCCCGGCGGCCCCGAGGAGGCGTGCCGCGGGCTGGACTGAGGCTGCGCGGACGCCAGGGCCCCAGGCGGCGTCCCTCACGTCCGCCGCGTCGCCATGGAGACGGGGGCGGGGCCGGCGCGGCGTCCGAGGCGCGGGAAGCCCGGCCGGCTGGGCCCGGCCGCGCGGCCTGAGGAGGTCGCCCGCGTCGGCCGCTCCCGCCGAGACTTCTGCGAGGCGCGAGACCCGAGGGTTGACTCCCGCACGTCCGCGAGGCCTGGCCGGGTAATCCTGATTGTCTGGGGGCCGGGTGCTCAGCGGCCGGCGCAAGGCCTTCGGTGCTGGGCGGACGAGCCTCGGGTCCCAGCATCGGCTTCCCCCGGTTCGGAGCGCCGGTGGTGCCGCCTCCCCCCTGGGGTTGTGGTCCGGGAGCTGCCGGGGGTTCTGAAAACACGCGCGCCTCAGCATCAGCATCAGCATCACCACCATCAGCATCCTCATCATTATTTTTGCCGGGTGCTGCTTCTCTTTCTTGCCCGGGCCCCGGGGGGTGCCGCATCCTTCCACGATTCTAGGGCGCTGCGGGAGGCTCCGGGTGCCGAGCGATCTTGCAAAGATCCGTAGCTCTGGACGGAGCCCGGAGCGAAAAAACAGCGGGTAGGGCGCATGCCTGGCACGCGGAGACGGAGGTTCGATCCCCAACACCCTGTCTGGTCTCCCATGCTCTGCCAGGAGTGTCCTCTGAGCACCGCCGGGGGTGGGGGGGGGGGGATGGCCCCCAAACAAAAACAAATAGCCTCCGAGATCAAAACTGGAAGTTTCTGCTAGTCCTTGCTGAGTGCCCGGGCGAGTGGCTGATTGGACACTGATTTTTCCGAGACCCTATTTGAATTCCTAAAGGGCAAATACCTGGAAACTTTCCCCGCAGCGGGAGATTGTTACTGGTCTTCCTTTGACTGGGAGGTCATTTCTTATTAGCATCTGATTAGAGGTGGAGTAAATGTTTGTTGAAGGAATGGTGTTAGGGACCCGTGAGAGTACACTTCTCTGTCTAATTATAACTTGAAAATGACTACAGCTCATTGAGGTGGTTTGTCAAACGTGCTTAGTTTTATACCTGGCACAGTACTGGCTCCAAAAATGTCATTTTGAACCTCAAACTCTTTGTAGATTGCTTTTCAGGAGCCTGAGACTGCTGGGTGAAGGCATTTGCCTCGCAAGCGGCAGACCTCATTTCAATCCCTGCATTGCTTGTGGGTTTGTTTGTTGGAGCACAGAGCCAGAAGTAGCCCCTGAGCACCATGGGGGTAGCATGGAGGGGTGCTGTCCCTCCACCCCCAAATATAGATCGCCTGGTACCGCCTGAGAGCCATGAAAAAGTAGGAGGTGTCAGGGAAGGCTTGCTTATTATGGGACTTAAGAGATAAATTTCGGGCTTTGCTTTTCTTTGGTGGAATTATTTTCTGTTGTTAGAAGCTGAATAATGTAGAAATGTCAGGATTCTTCTACATTTTTACTTTTCTCTGTAGCCTCTCCCTTCTCTCCCTTTCCTTGGGGACAGGGGTGGCCCATGTATCCTGGTTGTGGGGCTCACTAGGGTCAGGGAGCTTGCACATTCAGCCACACCGCTCACTTCATTAGTTGCAATGCGTACACACGTGCTTGCGGGCACTTTCTGGCTGTGGGGTTCACACCGCATTATATTCACTGTCACTGTCCTCCCGTTGTTCATCAGTTTTGCTCGAGCGGGCCCAGTAACATTGTGAGACTTGTTACTGTGTTTGGCATATCGAATATGTCACGGGTAGCTTGCCAGTCTGTGCCAGGCTCTCCGAGAGGGGCGGAGGAATTGAACTTGAGTCAGCCATGTTGGCTGCGTGCAAGGCAAACGCCCTACCCACTGTGCTATTGCTCCAGCCCCCATTATATTATATTATATTATATTATTTATTTAATTTTGGGTCTGGGGGCACACCTGGCAATGCTCAGGGCTTACTCCTGCCTTTGAGCTAAAGCATCACTCATGGCCAGGTTTAGGGGACCATATGGGTTGCCAGGATCAAAACCAGGTCAGCCGCGAAGAAGGAAGTCGCCCTACCCGCTATACTAATTCTCTGGCCCCTCACACATACTATTTAGCTGTGGTGTTCACCAGGGAGCGCTGCACAGTCTATGCCTGCCCTAAGGAGCACTATATATACTTTCTCTGCCGGACCCTGCAAGCTACTGAGAGTATCTCTATCTCGCCCACACGGCAAAGCCTGGCAAGCTGCCTGTGACGTGTTTGTTGTGCCAGAAACAGTAACGAGAAGTCTCACAATTTGTTGTGAGACGTTACTGGTGCCCGCTCGAGCAAATCGATGAACCAACGGGAGGACAGTGCTACTACAGTGCTATGACCCAAACTCTGCAGCTTGCAGAAGGGGTGAGTTCCCTTCACATCTGAGGAGCTGCCCTAACACCCCCTGCCAGGGCCTCGCCAACCTCCTGTTCTCTGCTCACCTTACCGAGGGCAGTGTGCAAGGCAGATGCCCTACCTGCTATATTATCTCTCCAGCCCCCTCACCTATTTTCTTTCTTTTATTTTTGATTTTCTTTTTGGGTGATCCAACTGCGCTTAGAACTTACTCCTGGCTTCTGGGCTCAGGGATCACTCCTGGCGGCAAGAGGTTGTGGGGCTGGGCGTGAAACACGTGGGGGGAGGAGGTAGAAGGGTGGGGGAGGCCAGCAGTGTGCAAGGCAAGTGCCAGCCTGTATCCTATATCTCCAGCCCTCTTATACTTTTGTTTTCCTTTATTTCCCTTTGGTTTTTGGGCCACACTTGGTGGTGCTCAGGGCTTACTCCTGTTGCAGTGCGCAGGAATCACTCCTGGTGTGTTCAGGGTGCCGGGGATTGGAACCTGGGTCAACTGCATGCAAAGCAAGCACCCCGGCCCCATTTTGCGTTTGTCTTTTTGGTTTTGGGTCACATCTGGCTGAACTCAGGGTTTACTCCTGGCATTGTAATCAGGGATGACTTGTGGGACCGTATGTGTTCCCAGGGATAGAACTTGGTCACCCACCCCCGTGAAGGCAAGGGCTTTACCTGCTGTGCTATCTCTCAGGCTTGCTTGTATTATTGAAAACTTTGGGCCACACGTGGGGGTGCTGAGGAGAAGGTGATGGGTGGAGGGACAGAGTCTCCTGTGTGTTACTCAGGAGCCACTCACAGATGTCCTCTGGATGTGCTATTTCCATGGGCCCAGCATGCTTTCCAGCTGTTTGCCATTTCACTCATCCTTTACCGAACATTCTGTTTTTGTTTGGGGGGCCGCACCCATCAGTGCTCAGGGCTAACATCTGTCTCTGAGCTCACGAATCACTCCTGGCAGCCATGGGGGACCATATGTTGTGCCAGGAATTTAACCCTGCGTGTGAGGCTAGCACCTTCCCCAGGGTTTTATCTCTCTGGTCCATCCCACACATTCTGGTTAGAATGCTTACTGGGAGGCTTCTATGGTGCTCACACGTGGTTTTATTTTTTTTAATTTTTTAAATTGTTTTTTGCTTTTGTGGTCACCCAACAGTGCTCAGTGGTCTGGCTCTGCATTCAGGAATTATTCCTGGTGGTGCTTGGGGGGGCCCTATGGGATGCTGGAGATTGAACCCGGGTCGGCCACATGCAAGGCGAATCCCCTATCTGCTGTACTATCGCTCGGGCCCTCACACGTTTTAGCTGGGGCCAGATTCCTGTTCTTAGTGCTTGCACATCTTTTTGGTGTGGTGCTTGCTGGAGGGGGTTGCACACTTTAATTGTGTGTGCCCTTTCACACCTGGCTGGGTGCTAGTGATCGCATACACTCTCCTGTGGCTGCTGGCAATCTTAAAAGGCTGACTTGGGGGACCAGGCACCATGCATTCAGTTGAAACTAATGGCTTGCGGCTTGCAAGGCTGGTACCTTTGCCACTGAACTGTTTCTTAGACCTCCACCCTCTTTGTTCAATTTTTTTTTTTTTTTTTAGTTTTTGTGTCTCACCCAGTGGTGCTCAGGACTTATTCCTGGCTCTGTGCTCAGGAATCACTCCTGGCGGGGACGCTGTATAGGATATAGGATGATGCTGGGGATCAAAACCAGGTCAGTCTTGTGCAAGGCAAGCACCCTCCCCACTGTATTACTGCTCAAATCCCAGCCCCTTTTACATTTTTAAATTGCTATGTCTTTCTCATTATTGAGTTGTAATGAAACTAAAGTAACAGAAGTTTACTGTCTGTCCTCCCGTTGTTCATCGATTTGCTCCAGTGGGCCCGGTAAAGTCTCCATTTTGAGACTTGTTACTGTGTTTGGCATATTGAATATACTCTAGGTATATGTACTTGTGGGGCTCTCCAAGGTGGGTGGAGGAATCAAACCCAGCTCGGCCGGGCTGACTGCACGTAAGGCAAATGCCCTACCAATGTGCTATCGCTCCAGCCCAAAGTAACAAATAAAATAATACTTTGTGAAATTCTGGAATGCCTCTCAAGAAGTGCTCAGGGGACCTAGGGCCACACTTGGTGATTCTTGGCCAACCAGGTCAGATGGTTGAAGCTGATATCCTAGGATGAGTTCATTCCCTGTGGTTTTGTGGACCCCAGGACCACAGGTGGTGGCACTAGGGGACCTTATGATGCCCGGGATCAAACCAGGGTTGATGCATGAAAGACATGTGCCTTATCTCCTGTACTAATTTCTGTCTCCCCAACCTCAGTAATTTTGCTACCACATTGAAATCTAGCTCCAAGGTCCTTGGAAGTTTTGCAACTACCTCCCCCCATTCAGCAAGAGAGAAGTCTTTACGCTTTCTTCTTTAGTGGGGAAGAGTATAGCCAGGGTGCTCAGGGTCATTCCTTGCAGTACTGTCAGGGTTCGAAAGAGCAAACCAGCTTTCCACATGCGAAGCCTGCACACCAGTCCTTTTGAGCTAGCTTTCTGGATCTCTCTTCACTGCAAGTTTTTGTTTGTTTGTTTGTTTCTGGGCCACACTCCACTGTATTTAGGGCTACTCCTGACTTTATACTCAGAGTTGACTCCTGGTGTGCTTGGGGGACGCTATGGGTGGCTGGGGATCCAACCCCGGTCAGTGACATACAAGGCAAGGGCCTTACCTGCTGTACTATCGCTCCGCCCCCACCCCCTCCACTTCTTGATGATGTCCTTTGAACTCACATTTTTAATTTCTGCAATGTGCAATTTCCCTGTAACTTATCAAGATAGATATATCTTAAGATTTGGGGAGCAGGAGAGGTAGTTACAGTGGAGAGGGCGATTGCCTTGCATGTGGCTGCCCTGGGTTTGATCTCCATCACCTCATATAGTCTCCTGAGCCCCACCAGGAATGATAGAGCTCAGAACCAGAAGTAAACACTGAGCATTGTGACCAGAGAGATAGTACAGGTTAAGGCACTTACTTGCCTTGTGGCTGGAGTGATAGTACAACAGGTAGGGTGTTTGCTTTGCATATGGCTGACGCGGTTTGGGTCCCCAGCATCCCATATGTTCCCCCGAGAACCACCAGGAGTGATTCCTGAGTACAGAGCCAGGAGTAACCCCTGAACATTGCCAGGTGTGACCACCCAAAAAGCGAAAAAAAAAAAAACACCACTTGTCTTGATGTAGCCAACCTGGGGATTTGATCCCCCGCACTGCATGTAATCTCCCAAACATTGCCAGGAGAGATCCCTAAGCACAGAAATCTGAGGTGCCAGGTAATTGTTCTCTCTTATTCTCCTTTTTCTTATAGTTAGAAGTGGAAGATAAAAGAGTATTTGATTCATGAAGAATCTGGTTATGAAGAAGTGTATGTCAAGTCACTGGTTGAATATCCATCATAAAGAGATTAAGGAGAGAATGGAGAGGAAGGTTGATTCCAGGTAAGTGATGAAACTGGGCTAAAAACAAAATCAAAGAACCCTAAACTTGGGCTGGAGCAATAGCACAGCAAGTAGTGCGGCCTTGCACGCGACTGACCCGAGGTCAATTCCCAGCATCCTATATGGTCCCGCAAGCACCTCCAGTAGTAATTTCTGAGTGCATGAGCCAGGAGTAACCCCTGTGCATCTCTGGGTGTGACCCAAAGCAAAAAACCAAACAAACCCTAAACTAAAACTGAGATCCATGTAAAAGCATGTAAACATTTATGTGTGAAAATAATAAGCAATAAAAAATAAAAAATACTTTTTTCTCCTATGTCACAAGTGATGTGGTAGGGATTTGGGTAAGGATTTGTGCTTTTAGTATTTTGGATTTCTTCTCTAAAGTATAGAATATAATGAAACATTTCTACCATATGTCACTGTTTAAAGTCATTTCAGACAGGTCACTGTCACTGTCACTGTCCTCCCGTTGTTCATCGATTTGCTCGAGCGGGCCCAGTAACGTCTCCATTGGAGACTTTGTTGTTACTGTGTCTGGAATATCGAATACTCTCAGTAGCTTGCCGGGCTCTCAGAGAGGGGCGGAGGAATCGAACTCGGGTCGGCCATGTTGGCCGCTTGTAAGGCAAACGCCCTATACCGCTGTGCTATCGGTTCAGACAGGTAGAAAGATAGAAAGATAAGGTGCCTGATTTATAAATAATCGACCCGGATTTTAAAATTTTTAAATTTTCATTGAATCACATTTACAAAGGGGATCCAACCCCGGTCAGTGACATACAAGGCAAGGGCCTTACCTGCTGTACTATCGCTCCGCAGAAATTAAAAATGTGAGTTCAAAGGACATCATTCATTGAGATACATTTACAAAGCTTTTATGATCAAGTTTCAGTCATACAATGTTCCAACACCCATCTCTCTACCAGTGAACATTTCCCACCACCAATATCCACCATATCCCTCCTGCTGGCCTCCCACCCCCCCACCATAGCCTGCCTCTATGGCAGGTGCTTTTTTTCTCTGTCTGTCTCTCTCTATCCTTTTGGGCATTATGACTTGCAGTACAGATCCTGAGAGGGCATCATGTTTGGTTGGCCATTTACCACTTTCAGCACACACTTCAGAATGGTCCCTTCTCTATCCTAACTGCCTTCTCCATCCCTTGAGGCAGCTTCCAGCTGCGGATCAATCCGCCTGGCCCTTGTTTCTGCTGTCCTTGGGTGTTAGTCTCATACTATCTTTTTTATATCCCACAAATGAGTGCAGTCATTCTATGTCTCCTCTCCTTCTGACTTACTTTTCTCAGCATGATACTCTCCATGTCCACCAAAGTTTTTCATTACTTCATTTTCCTAACAGCTGTATAGTATGACCCAGATTTGATCCTAAGCCCTGCACAAGGTCCCCTGCATATGATCCTCTGGGAGTGATTCCTGATCACAGAGCCAGGAGTACGCCATGAGAACTGCTGCGTGTGGCTTCCAAACCAAAATAACAACAACCCTCCACCCTCCCCCCCAAATCATTATATAAGTTTAATGTAGAAATATACGTCATTAAATTCTGACGTATGGTGGATGAAACGTTTGCCATGCACTGACCTCAGTTCCATCTGTGGCACCACCAGGGGTGATCCCTGAGCAAGAACCAGGACTGAACCCTAAGCACAGCTGGTGTAGTCCCCAAATCAAAATAAATAGTATTCTGATCTTGAGCACAAATGAGGATGATTTTCTTGACATTCGAAATTACAACATCAAGGCTAGTTATCTATTGTGTCTTTCCCCTACTTTTTAATTTTTTTTTTTACAAAGTGGATGTTTCCACTAAATATATTTTTTTTGTTTATTTTTCATTGAATCAATGTGAGATAGAGTTACAAAGTTGTTCATGATTGAGTTGTTTCATTCCTACAATATTCCAGTACCTGTCCCTTCATAAACTGGTATTGTCACAAGACAGCAGAATCTAGGATTTCTAAAAAGTTGGAATAATGAACAAATTAGGAGATCTAGAAGAGCAGAAAAGGTCAGAGGTAGCCCACAAAGGCATTAGAGCTTATCGTTCTCTTGACTTTTGTTTTTCACTTTGTTACCATACCCAGCAGTACTGAAGGGCTACTCACAGCCCTGTATTTGGGGGGGGGGGTGAGGAGCAGGGGGCAGGGGTGTGGGTGGAGTTATTTGTTTTGGTGGTACTCAGGAAACCATGTGGTGCCAAGGATTGAACCCTGGTTTTCCATATGCAAAGCATACACTCAGCCCTTTGAACTACTTCTCCCAGCCCAAACAGTTGAGCTTTTTTGTGGGGGAAGTTGTGGGGGTCTTGGGGTTCATACATTATTCCTGGTTCTGTGGTCAGGGATCATTTCAGGCAGGTTTGGGGATCATACCTAAGAAGGCTGCATGCAAGGCAAGTGCCCTATCTGATGTCCTATCTCTCTAGCCCAGTAGTTGAGTTTGTTTCAATTTTTATTCCGAGAAAATATGCATACTTCTTCATTAAACTTTGTATCTACTTATTCATGTAGTTAGATTCTTGATCTCAAACAGGTCCAAACAAGTATTTTATCTAGTTATCTGCGTGAGACATCTTGTAATGTTGTCCAGGGCATCCAAAGCTACCAAAACCTCTGATTAGACTCCAGACATCCCAACGCCCTCCACAAATGGACACCATAGGGCATATTGAGAAGTAGGGTACACACAGGGCAATGGAACTTTATTTTTTATTTGTTTGCTCTTTTGGGGGGGTAGGGGGCACACCTGGCAGTGCTTAGAGCTTATTCCTGGTTCTGCACTCAGGGATTACTCCTGAGAGTTCTCAGGAGACCATATGCAGTACCAGGGATTGAACTGGAATCATCTGTTTGCAAGGCTAGCTACTTAACCCCTATACTATTGCTCTGGCCCTATAATTTTCCTTAGTCCTATAGACATTAAGTATTGGTGAAGAGCCCTTTAGCATCAGATGCTTTCGAGCAGGGTAGTCTTTGAGGATAAATTGGACCCATACTCTTGTTGAGTTAAGGAACTGGGGGAAACATACCCAAAGAACTATGTTGTAAGAAAGGCTAAGATTATAGTGTCTAGGAGAAAGAAAGAGATTTCCAAATATAATAGTATCAGGACAACAGCAATAATGATGATTAAATGAATCACTTCTGGAGTAATAGCCAACCAGCCTAGTGTCGTTTTCTGCCTTTTGATAATGGTTGCTTTCTGTTCTTTTGATTCCAAATAGAAGAATCCAAATTTGTATATCTATAAAGGATTTATACATAAAAGACTACAAGTTATTAACAAAACTCAGATTAATAGGGATAAACATATATTTGCCTGGCCATTTATTATTATTCTACCTTGATTTCAGCATTGGCATGTAACCAAAGATGGCTAGAGTATTTTCTTTAAAACTAAGACAGCATTGTTTTGTTTTTTGTTTTTTTTGGTGGGGGCTTTGTGGGTTTGGGTTTTTGGGCCACACCTGGCAATACTCAGGAAAAACTCCTGGCAGACTTGGGAGACCATATGGAGTGTCAGGGATTGAACTTGGGTTCAGCTGCTTGTAAGGCAAGCACCTTACCCTCTGTATTATTGCTCTAGCTCCCTTTATTGTTCTTTTAAATTTATGAAAGGTCAGATAACTCTCTCTCATTACCTTTTTTTGGGGGGGGCGGGGAGAGGACATACCTAGTGATGCTCAGGAGTTACTCCTGGCTCTGAACATAGGAATTAGTCCTGGCAGTGCTCAAGGGACCATATGGAATGCTGGGGATTGAACCCTGGTCAGCCACATGCAAGGCAAGTGCTGAACTATCTCTCCAGCTCCTCTAATTTTTGTCTGCATTTATAACGCCAGAGATCGAACTCAAGGCTTTACACATGCAAGGCATGTGCTCTAATGTCAAGCATGTCCCGAATCCCTTGTTCTTTCTTTTTATGTTTTTGTGGTGCAGTGGATTGAACCCAGGACTTTATATAAGGCATGTGTCCTACCATTGAGTCACATTTATGACCTTTATTCCTACTTTTGATATGTATCTTCTTTCTTCATACTTACTTGGTTAATCTAGTCAACAGTTTGGTAATTTTGTTTTATAAGTCTTAATAGTTATTTTAAGCTACTTTGGGTTACATTTCTGTTTCTTACAACCAAGGATGTGGGCTGGAGAGATAGCACAGTGGGTAGGGCGTTTGCCTTGCATGCGGGACCACCCGGGTTTGATTCTTCCGCCCCTCTCGGAGAGCTCAGCAAGCTACCGAGAGTATCTCGCCCGCACAGCAGAGCCTGGCAAGCTCCCCGTGGCGTATTCAATATGCCAGAAACAGTAACAACAAGTCTCACAGTGAAGATGTTACTGGTGCCCATTCGAGCAAATTGATGAACAACGGGAGGACAGTGCTGCACCAACCAAGGATAACAATAACAAGGATACATAAAAGTGGGTTTTATTTTTTTCTTGTATTTACTGGTTGTTGGACAAATGGTAGCCAGAATAGCTTAAAGCAATGTTTCTCTGGGGCTAGAGAGATGGTATGGCAGGTAGGGCACTTACCTTGCATATAACTGACCTGAGATTGATCCCCGGGTATTACTCCTGGCTCTGCACTCAGGGATCATTCTTGGTGGGGCTCATTCAACCATATGGGGTGCCAGAGATCGAACTGAGGTTGGCCACATGCAACACAAGTACTCTACCCACTGTATCTCCGATTCCTAATTTATTTTTTAAATTTTTTAATTTTTTTTGCTTTTTGGGTCACACCCAGCGATGCACAGGGGTTACTCCTGACTCTGCACTCAGGAATCACTCCTGGCCGTGCTCAGGGGACCATATGGGATGCTGGGAATCGAACCCAGGTCGGCCGTGTGCAAGGCAGATACCCTAACCGCTGTGCTGTTGCTCCAGCCCCCTCCTAATTTATTTTTATTTTTATTTTTTGCTGTTTGGGTCACACCCAGCGATGCACAGGGGTTACTCCTGGCTCTGCACTCAGGAATTACTCCTGCTGGTGCTCAGGGGACCATATGGGATGCTGGGAATCGAACCTGGGTCGGCCGCATGCAAAGGCAAATGCCCTACCCGCTGTGCTATCGCTCCAGCCCCAACCTAATTTATTCTTAATGTAAAGGAATCCATTTCCAATTTGTAAATAAAATGCTTTAACCTGATTCTTTAAGTTAGGGTGTAGCTCAGTGCCAGAGCACTTACATTGCTTGTATGAAACCCTCAGCAGGATCTCCAGCACAGCAGAAAGAGATTCCTTTTTTCTTTTTGTTTTGGGACCACTCCTGGTACTCTGGACTTACACCCAACTCTGTGCTTAGGAAACGCTCCTGGTAGAGTCGGGACTATCTAGGGTGCTAGGGATTGAACCCAAATCTGCTGCATGCAAAGCAAACACCCGACCCTCTCTGCTGTCTCTTCAGACCCCCTTGCAGAGACTCTTAAAAGTCTTAAGACTCTTAAAAAAAAGATTGTTAGAATTAATGAATCTAACGTACCCTCCACAGCTGACTTCGAAGCCTAGAAGTATCTACTTCTTATGACAGGCAGGTATTTCTGCTAGAGATTGGTTTTTTATTGTTTCAAAACATATTTATCAGTCTAAATTAGAGGGCCTATTTAACTTTGTATGTTAAGAAGTTTCTGCATCACGTACATGGATAGTTTGATTCTTTCCCATCTTCCTCAAATTGAATTAATTTCTTTTAGGGATGGTGCTGTCAAGAAACCTTATTTTTCAAAGACAGTGTCCAACAAGAAAAATTCTTCATTCTCTGGGATTCGGAACAAGTTACCTAGTACCAGACATCCGGTGCCGTATCATGTCGAATATAATTGCACCAGAAGGGCCCGCTTACGAGAATTGCGTATCAGGTGAGCTTGTGAGCTATCTTAAGTGTTTTTTTTGGGGGTGCTACATGTGGTGACTTTGTTCAGGGAATACTTTTGGCTCTGTGCTCAGGGATCAGTCCTGGGTCTGCTGTGTGCAAAAGCAAGCATCTACCTGCTGTACTATGTCTCCAGCCTCATGTTCTTCCTTATTGTTTAAAATGAGAGGATGGGGCCAGAGGGCTAGTGTACAGGGATTAAGGCACTTGCCCTGCATGTACCCGATCCTAGTTTGGTGCCCAGCACCACTAATGGTCTCTTGAGCACCTTCCAGAGTCACTTCTGAGCATCATCAGATATGATCCTGAGCTCCCAAGTCACAGCCCCCCAAACATGAGATAATTCCTTTTCTGCTATCTCTGTTCTGGCATATCGAATACTCTCGTTAGCTTGCCAGGCTCTCCGAGAGGGGTGGAGGAATCGAACTCGGGTCGGTCATGTTGGCTGCGTGCAAGGCAAACGCCCTACCCGCAACAAAGTCTCCAATGGAGACGTTACTGGGCCTGCTCGAGCAAATCGATGATCAACGGGAGGGCCTTTACCTTTTACCTTTACCTATCTCTGTTAGTTGAAACCACTGATGCTTGCTGTTCCTAGCATAGTGTTCAAAGGAAAAGGATACGTAGGAGTCTGCAGACATGACTTCTGTGATTGAATCTTTTTATTGACATTCTCCAGTTGTATTCTAGAATGTGTAAGGTCAGATTATGTAGGAAAAGCCTAAATATAAACCAAGTGTTAAAAAAAATCATCATCTTTTGCTATTATTGATTAGGTCTGTCAAAGGCATTAAATTAATTCATTCTTTTAAAAAATATTAGATGTCAGGGCTGGAGTGATAGCACAGTGTGTTTGCCTTGCACGCGGCCAACCTGGGTTCGATTCCCAGCAGCCCATATGATCCCCCAGCACCGCCAGGAGTAACTCCTGAGTGCAAAGCCAGGAGTAACCCCTGTGCATCACTGGGTGTGACCCAAAAAGAAAAGAAAATCAGGTGTCTATTTGGTCAGGTGTTCATTATGTGCTGGATATTGAAAATACAAGGTAAGACCTTCTTGGTCTATGACCTTTTGAAAACTTTAAATGAAGTAGGCCTGACATTAAACAAGCCAAAATAACTAGGTGTTAGAAGTGCAGCAAGAGAAGGATGTAGCACTATGGGCCCACATAGCAAAACCAAGCATGCTTGTGTAACCACCAGTACGTACTTCCTGGAGGAAATGGAGTTTTAAGTCATGATAATTTGAGATTAAACCAGATAGTGGTCAGAGAGAGAGCTCAGCAGGCAGGGAATGGGTCTCGAATACTGACTCCAATTCTGTCCCTGGCACCTCATATGGTCCTCTGAGCACTGCCAGGAGTTATCCCTGAGCAAAGAGTCAGGAATGAGTCCTGAGCACAGCTGGATGTGCCCTCCTCCCCCCTCCAAAAAAAAAAAAAAGTACACCAGAGGTAGAAAGGTAGAAGAAAGAGTATTCCAAGCTGGGCCCAAATATGAGCTGACCAAGGTAAGTTAGCTCTGTATGTGCCAGTCACTGTGTTCTAAGACAGGAAATGTGTTCTTAGGAGTTCAAAGTGCAGAGAGAGCAACGGTAAACAGCTGGTGACTCTGATAGGGTAATGTTTTACAAGGATGAACAGAGTGCGGAGAGAACAGTTACTCATTCTTTTCTGTGTGTGTGTGTGTGTGTGTGTGTATGTTGGGGGGGGGACACACCCAGTGATGCTCAGGGGTTACTTCTGGCTCTGCACTTAGGAATTCCTCATTACACCTGGAAGTGCTCGGGAACCATATAGAATGTCAGGGATTGAGCCTGGTTGACCTTACCTGCTGTACTGTCTCTCTGTTCACATTGAGCTACTCATTCTTTTCCAGTCTGGGTCTGGGAAGGTCCAGGAAGGCTTCACCTAGGAATTAGCATTGAAGGTGATGGGTTTGGGGGCATTTGTCAGGCATTTTAGGCATAGGGATGCTAAAACAAAAGCATTATCAAGATTCATTTCTTCAACTTTGAGGTCTTCATTGACTAACTATATTGGAAGTAATTTTGGGGGACCACAGCCAGCAGTGCTCAAGGATTCTGTGCTCGGGAGTGACTCCTGATGATGCTTAGAGGACCGTATGTGGTACTGGGCGTCAGACTGGGATCACCTACATGCAAGGGAAGCACCTCACCTCCTGTACTATCTGTCCAGCCCCTGGATGTCATTTTAATTTATTTTCATTGTTGGTTTTGGACCACATATGGAGGTGCTCAGGACTTACTCCTGATTCTGCACTCAGGGGTCCTTTTTGGCAGGACTCAGTGTCATATGGGGTGCTTGGGGTTGAACCCGGGTCAGCTGCATGCAAAGCAAGTGCACTGCCCACTGTACTACCACTCCGGACCCGTGAAAGTAATTTTTTTAAAGTAATATGTTTGTTTGGACTGGCAAGACAATACCAGGGATTAAGACACTTGTCTTGGAGCCAGAGCTGGTAAGGTGCTTGCCTTGCATGTGGCTCACCTTGGGTCTATCCCCAGCATCCCATTTAGGTCCCCTGAGTAACGCCAGGAGTGATTCCTGAGTGCAGAGCCAGAAGGAACCCCTGAGCATTGCCCAAAGTGGCCAAAAAATAAAGACACTTGCCTTGCATGCAGCCAGTCTTTTTGATTGTAGGTGACACGTGGTCCCCTGAGCACCACTGGGAGCAATTCCCAAGCATAGAGCTGACTCCTGAACACAGAGCTGGGAATTGCCCCTAAGCACCCCTGGGTGTGACCCTAAAATCCAAAGCCCCCCCCCCACAAAACTAAAACTGGAATTTTTTTAAAAGAATTTAAAATAAGCCTGCAATAAATTCAGCAAAAAGTGCTCTGAGAAAATACTACCTGGCTTTAGAAGGAAATACTCTTCCAAAAGTCTTTTGAATCCACAAATATAAGAATTTTCTGGCCAAACATCTGAAAGAAAAGAGAGGATATAAACAGTTTAAGAATTCATTTAGGTGGGGCTGGAGCGATAGCACAGCGGGTAGGGCGTTTGCCTTACAAGCGGCCAACATGGCCGACCCGAGTTCGATTCCTCCGCCCCTCTCGGAGAGCCCGGCAAGCTACCGAGAGTATTGGATATGCCAGACACAGTAACAACAAAGTCTCCAATGGAGACGTTACTGGGCCCGCTCGAGCAAATCGACGATCAACGGGAGGGCCTTTACCTTTACCTTTACCCCCCCCACAAAACTGCTTGATTTTAGCTTTATAAATCTGTTCACTGCTCTAATATAACCGTGAGTCACCTTTTGACTTATAGTATCAACACTCCTTGAAAGATTTCTTCTCTTTTCCAGAATACTAATGATATAAGCTAAATGATCTTTTTTTTGCTTTTGGGGTCACACCTGGCAATGCATAGGGGTTACTCCTGGATCATGCACTTAGGAATTACTCGTGGCGGTGCTCAGGGGACCACAAGGGATGCTGGGAATCGAATCTAGGTCGGCCACATGCAAGGCAAACACCCTGCCCGCTGTGCTATTGCTCCAGCCCCACCTAAATGAATTCTTAAACTGTTTATATCCTCTCTTTTCTTTCAGATGTTTGGCCAGAAAATTCTTATATTTGTGGATTCAAAAGACTTTTGGAAGAGTATTTCCTTCTAAAGCCAGGTAGTATTTTCTCAGAGCACTTTTTGCTGAATTTATTGCAGGCTTATTTTAAATTCTTTTAAAAAAATTCCAGTTTTAGTTTTGATTAGGCCCATACATGACCTTTGTTGTGGCGTGCATTACATTTCTCTCCTGCCCATCTCCCCAGCTTGCAACAGTCTTATAATGATAATTTAACAATAGTTTGACAGATCACGTTCAGGGAAAAAATCATAGATAAACTGGGCTGGAGTGAGAGTACAGCAGGGAGGGCACTTGCCTTGCAGCTGCTGATCTGGGTTTGATCCCCAGCACACTGTGTGATCATCACTCCCAGCACTGCCAGTAGTAAGCCCTGAGCATAGCTGGGTATGGCCCAAAACACACACACACACACACACACACACACACACAGAAAAAATCACTGGCAAACTAAGATAACTAAGATCCAGTGGGGTTTTTGAAAAAACAGTATTTCCCCAAGAGGTTAAATGAGTCATTTCTGCATACTGACAGGTCTGATAAATTGACTTAATATGGAATAGAATTTAGGGGAAAAGTTGACCTTAATAAGAGGTGAGAAATGTTATCGAGAGTGAATCTAGATATGGGGTACCACCCACCACTGTGGGTTTTGGTGAGGGTCCCTTTAACTTCAGCACCAAGAATCAGCTGTGGGCGGGGGGCACAGAGTGAGACCACAGGGGTCCAGAACACTGTGCAACCAGCAGCAGTGACTAAGTGTGTGTTGTGACCGACACACTGTGCAGTGACAGAGTATACTGTGCATCTTAATCTTCCCTTGAGGACAGTTTAGTAACAACATGATTTTTAAGTAATACTGGCATAGTTTTTTAAAGAAACTTCACATAATGGTTGCACCTTATTTTGTTTGTTTGTTTGTTTGTTTGTTTTGGGCCACATCCGATGTTGCTCAGGGCTTACTCCTGGCTCTGTGCTCAAGGATCACTCCTGGTGGGCTCAGGGAACCATATATAGTGCCCAGGGATCATCCTGGGTCAGCCAAGTGCAAGACAAATGCCTCACCCGCTGTGCTATTGCTCTAGCACATTTAAAAATAATTTTCCCACCAATTCTTAGTTACCTGTGTGCATAGCAGTTCCGTGGATGGTATTTCCGGTCGGCATCAATTAGTGATAACTGCTCTTTGCCACTGCAGTTTGTGTACACATCTACCCACTGGCTATGTGGTAGATGTCATGGCACTCAAATGACTCCCTGTTGTTGCGTATATTCATGGAGAAGTTGCTTTGCTTTGTTCATGATGTAACCTCAGAGACTAGCATGAATAGAAGGACTGGAGAGAGAGCTCAGTGACTTGGGTGCTTGCCTTGCATATGGCTGACTTGGAGTTCAATCCCCAGCATTCCATATGGGTCCCTAAGTACCACCAGCAGTGATTCCTGAGTGCAGAGCCAGGTGTAGCACCAAAACAAACCAAACGGGTGGGGCGAGCTTATCTTGCATACAGCTGACCTGAGTTCAATCCCTGGCATCTTATATGGTCCCTAAAGCCCGTCAGTTGTGATTTCTGGGTGCAGATCCAGGAGTAACCCCTGAACCTCTCCATGAGTGACCCCAAAACAAAACAAAATAGAACTCTTCCCCCCCCTCAAAAAAAAAAACTAGTCAGAACAAACAAGAAAACCAAACAAAACAACAAAACCCAAACAGTTAGCTGTTTGAGTTCTGTCATCAGCAGAGAAGCTGAACAGTTAGGCTAGAACAGGAACGAGTGAGTATTATCATGTGACTTGCTCCTGACATCTTTGCCTGCCCACCAGCTCCCCTTGTGCCTCTTGCTCGGCTTGTTTGGGTTGAGTTTGACATAAGCACTGCCAAACAAGAGATGCAGATTTGTTCTCAAGAATCTACTGACAATAACTGTGCTGAGAATTCTAGGCTCACAGCTCTCAGCACTCAAGAGAAAAGTGTGCGTCCACACGGCCCTGGGGAATTCACTGCTGCTCTGTTTATCTTTTATGCAGCCTAATGAACAGAACAACACCATGTAATGGTTACTTGATGCAAGATTATAAAACAGGCCAGAGCAATAGTACAGTGGCTAGGGCTTTTGCCTTGCACATGGCTGACCCGGGTTCAATCCCCACCATCTCATATGACTTCCTGAGCACTTCCACGAGTAATTGCTGAGTGCAGAGTCACGAGTAATTCCTGAGCATTTCTGGGCATGCTTACAAAAAAAAGAAAAAAGAAAAGATTATAAAGCAGTTTTTAGCTTGGGGAAAAAAACCCAACAGGTGTGACAGCTCTGTGGTGAAATTCAGTATCACCTAAGATATCTTGATTCACCTTTGTGTGTGTTCTCTGGTGCTCAGGGGCTACTCCTGGCTCAATGTTTGGGGGTCCTCCTGGCAGTACTTAGGGGACTATGCTGCACTAGCGGTCGAACTCAGACCCCCTGCATGCACATGCCAAGCATATGCTCTGAGCCTTTGATCCTGCTGATTTTTTTCCTACTCTCTCTATTTCTTCTTGCTATGAAGTCCTGTGATCATGGTATCTCCCCTGCCAGGTAAGTATTCCTACTTTGGACAAACTGGCAGGCTACCGAATGTAACCTGCCCACAGGGCAGAGTCTGGCAAAATCCCCGTGGCGTACCCAATATGCCAAATACCAGTAACAATGATGGGTCTCATTCTCCTAAAGAGCCTTGAATATAGCACTTTCTTAAAAATCTCAGGGCTAGGATGAAGGAGACATTACTGGGGCCTGCACGAGGCAATCGACGAATAACAGGATGGTCGTGATTCCTGATGAAGTCCTGTGTTAGAAAGGAGTTGAGGTGGTTGGAATTGAGATGAGGAACTGGACCACGCTAGCTGTGTGGGTTCTTTCTCGGTAAATTGTACCATCAGAAGACAGTGTTCTCAGTCTTAGTTTCTGGTTTCAGATTGGGCCTCTGTACTTTCCAGGGATTACTGACTGGCTGTTTAGGGGTTTTCCACTCCTCATCACTCCCTCTCTCTTCTGTGCAAACGTTAATTCCATGCAACTCTTTGGCCTGAGGGCAATTTGTCCTTACCTGCCTATATCTTGGACTTATCAGGATATCTTGTTCCCCCAGTTTTTGTTATTGACAGATGAGTTTTGGGTATTTTTTTTCTTTTTGGGTCACCCCTGGTGATGCACAGGGATTACTCCTGGCTCTGCACTCAGGAATTACTCCTGGCAGTGCTGGGAACCATATGGGATGCTAGGAATCGAACCTGGGTTGGCTGCGCACAAGGCAGATGCCCTACCTGCTGTACTATTGCTCCAGCCTGAATTTTGGTTTTGCTACATAACTGTTTTGTTATGGGGATCCAGATCGCCATAAAACTACGTTGTCACCTCCACTATCTCTCTCAAATCCTTTACTGTTTAATCTTACTTTTCTTACATTTGATGGTATTTGAATGGGCACCTCCTTTTCAGATTATTATTTGTATTCCGGGTACTTGAGTTATACCGTGTGTTTGTGAGAGTGTTTTTTATTTAATTATCAGTAAGAATAAATCTGGCAATAGCCTAAACAGGTTGGTATTTGTCTTTTCTTCCCATCAGTCGGTAGGTTGATATAATGTAGTTGGGGCAGTGATGTCACCTGAGGGTTTTAGTGCCTTTCTTGTTCACATCCTTATCATACTTGCCCTTTGTCCTCCGAGATGACACTGCATAGCTGCAAGATGACCATATCCCACTTATCTATCAGGAGAGCAAAACATTCCTCGAAGCAACCCAGTTTCATTCTGATTCTGCCTAGCTGCCACAGCTCTGCTGCTGGTGACCTTTAGCGGCAAAGGAGGTTGGAAAGACCGAGACATTTACATTATACTTTTTTCACTTGCTTAGCTCAGGGATTGCAAGGTATAGATCTAGAGTGGAGTATTGGACTGGCATTTAAGAATCCTGAGTTTTGTTTCTAGCCCTAGCTAATTCTTTTATTTGGTGATATGTTATTATGGCATTGAACCTAATTACTCTATTTGTAAAATGAGAGTGGGAGTATTTGTTGTCTTCTTTGTGTGTGTGTATGTGCATGCATGTGCATGCCACACCCAGTGATACTCAGTGCTTACTCCTGGCTCTGCACTCAGGGATCACTCCTGGCAGCACTTGGAGGGCCATATGGGATGCAGGAGATCAAACCTGCATTGAGGGAGTGCAAAGCAAGCGCCCTACTTGCCATACTATTGCTCTGACTCTGGAGAGTATTTATGTCCTAACTGCAATGCTAACACTGTATTTCCATTGACTTATTTTTTTAAAAATTTTTTCGGGGGAGGGGTCACACCCAGAGCTGCTCGGGGGGTTAATCCTGGCTCTGCACTCAGTGATTGCTCCTGGTGGTGCTTGGGGGACCCCATGGGATGCCAGGGATTGAATCTGGGTCAGCCGTGTGAATGGCAAATCCCCTACCTGCTGTTCTATTGCTCCGGCCCTTCCATTGACTTACAAACTTGTGATGTGGTGGTTTTCAACTTGTGGCCTTTTTTATTTTTTCAGCTAGATATTTGTTACTTTGGGTATCTTTCTTTTTTGGTCCGGTTTGGTTTTTTGGTTTTTGGGCTACATCTCTTGGTGCCCAGGGCTTACTCCTGACTCTGCACTCGGTATCACTCCTGGTGGTCTTAGAGAACCTCACGGGGTGTTGGGGATCAAAACCAAGTCGGCTGCATGCAATGCAAGCACCCTACCTACTGTGCTGTCTCTCTGGCCCCACTTATTCGTTACTTCGAAGATGCCTGGGGATGTAGATCTTTGCTTCTCCCCACCCAGTATTTTCTTCATATTGAGTTACAGAATTATTTCTCACTTTTAGGAATTAAGGGGAATGATACACCGGAAGCTGCGTAATTATGCCTTGGTGTGCTAAGGAAAATGTCTTAATTTTTATAAGCTGGAGTTGTTTTGTCATTAATAAGCTGACCAAATGACCATTGAATTGGTCAAAGCAAAAATAATAAAGTAATTGTCATTCTAAATAAGATCATCTTAAGTATGTGCTAGTTGCCTAGCTTTCTAAAGAGAATAGTTGAACACAAATTTCTAGTTAATTTGAGATGTAGACAAAATTATTTATAGAATTGCACTCATCAATATTTATTCCTTATTAGTTAATGACACTGGTTTCTATTTTCTTGGAAAAAATGAGTCAGAGGAAGAGAACTCTCTAAGCTCCCTCCAACTACCTCTAAATTTATTTGTTTTTTGTATAATCTGCTTTCCTTACAGTTAGGCATGTGAACAGCCTGTTCCAACAAGGGCAAAATCCTTGACTTTCATGTTATATTCCCTTCCTATCTACTTTTTAAAAAAATTTTTTGAGAGACCATTTTATTTTACTTTATTTTTTGCTTTTTGGGTCATACCCAGAAATGCTCAGGAGTTACTCCTGGCTCTGCAATCAGGAATTACTCCTGGTGGTGTTTGGTGGACCATATGGGAAGCCGAGGATTGAACCTGGATCGGCTGTGTGTAATGCGAACACCCCATCCCACTGTACTATCTCCACGCCCCCTCTTCCTATGTACTTAATGCCATCACTCTAGTAGTGTTGTGTGTGGGGGGGGGAGGGGGGTGGGGTGGGTAGAAGCTATAGGCCACATCCAGTAGTACTTAGCTATCACTCCTGGTAGTGCTTCAGGTACCATATGCAGTGTCAGGATTGAATCAGGCTTAGCTCAGTGCAAGGCAAATGCCTAATCCCCGTACTATGTCTCCAGTCCCAATTATAGCTTTTTTTTTTTTCTTTTTGGGTCACACCCGGCGATGCACAGGGGTTATTCCTGGCTCATGCACTCAGGAATTACTCCTGGTGGTGCTCGGGGGACCATATGGGATGCTGGGAATCGAACCCGGGTCGTCTGCGTGCAAGGCAAACACCCTACCCGCTGTGCTCTCTCTCCAGCCCCCAATTATAGCTGTTTTTACTCTCTCTCTCTCTCTCTCTCTGCATCAGTATTTACCAGCAAATGATGTTTTTATTTTTTTCCTCATCTAAAAAAAAAATCTCTTTGCTTTTACTCATGGTAGAATAGAGGGTCCCATATGCAGTTCTAGGTGTTGAAACTGGGTCAGCAGCCTGCAAAGCAAGCACCTTAACTCCTATACTATCTCTTCAGCACCTCTTTTTGGCCCTATGTTAATCTTGCATTTTTATTTGTATTGGTTTTTTGGCCGCATCCTGTTGGACTGGGGGGACCAGCGGGGGCGCCAGAATTGAACTGGGTCAGCTGCATGGAAGGCAGATACTATCTGCTGTCCTATCTCTCAAGCCCTTATGTTAGTGTCTTTAATTAGATCTGAAGTATAACTTTTATGGGGGCAGAGTCAGCTGTGCTGTAAGAGACAGGGCTGGGGTACTACCCATGGCTGTGCCCAGAAATAGGAATTATTCTATTTTGGTATTATCAAACATCAAGCCATTGTTTTGCTTGTGTTTGGGGGCCAGACCTGGCAGGACTCAGAGACTACTGGCTGTGTGCCCAGAGTTGTTCCTTGTGTTGCTCAGGGATGGTGAGGTGTCATAGACTGGGCCCAGGCTTCTTGTGAGCAGGGCATGCGCCTAGCTCTCTGAACGAACTCTCTGGCTCATAGTGAGACATACACTTCCATGAGAAAGCAAAAGTAAGAAGAAACTTTTGGGGCCTAGGGAGATAGTACACAGGTAGGACATTTGCCCTACATACAGCTTACCCGAGTTTAATCCCCAGAATCCCATATGGTCCCCCAAATACCGCAGGAGTACTAGTAATTCCTGAGTAAGCGCTTACCACCACTGAGTGTAACCCAAATACCAAAAAAAAAAAGAAAAGAAAAGAAAAGAAAAGAACGAAACTGGTTTGGGAAGGGACAGCAAGACAGCATCATCATGGCTCTCTGATTTCATTTTATTACCCCAGGTTTTACTACGAGCAGAAGGTGCTACGGAAGGTCTTTGCAGAGTGGAAAGAAGAGTGGTGGGTTTCCCATCGAGAATGGAAACTCTGTATTAGAGCCGACTGCCACTACAGGTGAGCTTTCATGCCCATTACTTTAATTTTACTGGTACACATTGTCAAATCATTCTTGTTGGCATGTTGCTGGTAAGAAAGAAAAAAGTTTGGACTCAGTTTTAGTTTTTCTTCAGATTCTTCATACAGTAGCAAGACCATAGCCAAACGTGTGTGTGTGTGTGTGTGTGTGTGTGTGCGCGCGCACATACACATACACACACACACACACACAGGAAACCCCTTTGCCTCACATCATTGTTAAGTGTTGACCATACATGATTTGAATATTGTTTTCTTACTATCAGTTCTGTGTCATTTCTTCGAGAGTATTCTATTTAAAAAAATAAGTTGTTCCGTTAATTTTTTGGGGGGTCACATGTGGCACATGTGGGGGGCAACTTCTAGCTCTGCACTCAGAAGTAGGTCTTGGTGGTGCTTGGAGGACAATGCAGTGAATGGGAAATAAACCCTGCCTTTGCATTGCAAAGCATGCATTCCAGTTTATTGAGCTATCTCTCCATCCCCGAAAAAAAAAAGTTTTATTTATTTACTATGGGGGTTAGTCTAAATTTTTCTTTTCTCCCCCTTCTCCTCCTTCTCCTCCTTCTCCTCCTTCTCCTCCTCCTCCTCCTCCTCCTCCTCCTCCTCCTCCTCCTCCTCTTCTTCCTCCTCCTCCTTCTCCTTCCTCCTTCCACTTTTTTTTATTAAGGTACCAGGATATACAGTGCTTTTAATATACTTTCCATACATACATCATTTCATTACCACACTCATCACCAGAGTGCCTCCTTCCCCCCACCAGTGTCCTCAGGGGCTAGATCTACTCTTTGTACAGCGGTCACCCCCACCAGTGCTCTGTGGACCATATGCAGTGCCAGACTGCCCTGCACCTGACCCTCCTGTACTCTCTGGTCGAAATTCTTGACATTTATATTTCTAGGGATAAGTAGAGGGAAAAAGCACAAATTAAGAATTATATCAGAGGCTGGAGCGGTAATAGAGCGGGGAGGTTGTTTGCCCTGACCCGGGTTTGATCCTCAAATCCCATGTGGTCCCCTGACTACCGCCAGGAGTAATCACCAAGTGCAGTGAGTGCATAAATAACCGCTGCTTATTGCCGGGTGTGACCCCAAAAAAGCCTCCCTTCCCCCATAAAAAAGAATTACATCAAATGTACAGTTTCGGACTCACAATATATTTCTTTTGGTGACCAGAGAGATAGAACAGTGGGTAAGGTGCTGGCCTTGCACATGGTGGACTCAGGTTCTATTCCTGGCAACCCATATGGTTCTCCACGCACTGCCAAGAGTGATCCTTGAGCACAGAGCCAGGTGTGAGCTCTGAGCACCAGCAGGTACGGCCCTCTGCTAGAGGCCACTCCTGGCACTGCTCAGGAGACCAGTGCAGTTCTGGGGATCAAACCAAGGTCAGTTGCCTGCAGAACAAGTACCTTAACCAAGTACTAGCTCTCTGGCCCTAGACCCCTTTAAAAATAACTTCACTAACGAGTACAAACCACTTGGGGCTGGAGCTGTAGTCCAGCAGATAGGGCTTGCCTTGCACACGACCAACACAGATTCAGTCCCCAGCACCCCATATGGCCCCTGGAGCTCTCCCAGGAGTGATCCCTGAATGCAGATGCAGTAGTGAGTCCTGAAGCCTCCATGTGCGGCCCCCAAGCAAATAAGCATACTAATACCTCCTCCTCCTCCCTCCTCCATTCTTAGTATGTAGCACTGTAGAACTGTCCTCCCGTTGTACATCGATTTGCTCGAGCGGGCCCAGTAACGTCTCCATTGTGAGACTTGTTACTGTGTTTGGCATATAGCATACGTCACAGGTAGCTTGCCAGGCTTTGCTTATTCTTAGTATATTTCTTTCTCTCTTCCTCCCTCTTTTGGTCAGGCTGGGAAGTGAAATATCTTTCTATGGAGCCTGAGAGGCTGGATGCTTGCCTTGCATGCAGCTGACCCAGGTTTAATCCTTGGCCTCTTATATGGTCCCCTGATCCCTGCCAGGAGTGACCCCTGAGTGGCGAGCCAGGAGTAAGCCCTGAGCATTGCCTGGTGTGGTCTCAGAATAAACAAGCCAAAAAAAAAATTGTGCCTCTAAAACACACTGGGCGATAGCACAGCGGTAGGGCGTTTGCCCTACAAGTGGCCAACATGGCCGACCCGAGTTCGATTCCTCCACCCCTCTCGGAGAGCCTGGCAAGCTACCGAGAGTATCTCGCCCGCACAGCAGAGCCTGGCAAGCTACCCGTGATGTATTCGATATGCCAAACACAGTAACACCAGGTCTCATGATGGAGATGTTACTGGGCCCGCTCGAGCAAATCGATGAACAACGGGAGGACCGTGACCGTGACCTTGTCTCTAAAATGATATTTATGGGGCCAGAAAGACAGCTCAAAGGGCTGAGCACATGCAAGAGGCCTAAGGTTAGTTTCCAGTACTACATGATTACCCGTGGATGCTGGGAGCAACCCCCTGAGCACTACCAGGTATGGCCCTAACTCTGCCCACCCCAAACTAATAGATTTTAAAAAGTGAATTTGTGGGGCCAGGGAGATAGCTCAAAGGACTGGAGCACGTACTATGCTTTCAAATACACCCGTGCTCCCGGAAGTCATTATAAAAATAAAAATATATTTACGGAGCCCAGGAGACAGTTTAAAGGTCAGAAGTGCATGCTCTTTTGGCATGTAGGAGCCCTGGATTTGGTCCCCAGCACTACTTTATCCCCTGAACACTCCTGGGAGCAACTCCCACTCATGACTGAGTATGACCTCCAAACAAATGAGCAAAGTTCTCTGAAGATAACAAATTGATTTGGATGAAGAGCTGTTTAAGTTTAAAGAAACGCCTTTGCTATTTTTGTTTTTTGCCTCTCAGATATTACTTGTACAACCTGATGTTCCAGGCTTGGAAGGCCTATGTGCTGCAGCAGCAGGAGACAAGAAACAAGTACATGAGAGCTGAGGACCATGGTGAGAAAAAGAAACACGTCTGGAGAAAATGCCCATATTATCTTTTTCCCCTTAAAAACAATTCTTTTAGGAGCCGGAGCGATAGTACAGCGGGTAGGGCATTTGCCTTGCACGTGGCTGACCTGGGTTTGATTCCTGGCATCCCATATGGTCCCCCAAGCACTGCCAGGAGTAATTCCTGAGTGCAGAACCAGGAGGAACCCCTGAGCATCGCTGAGTGTGACCCAAAAAGCAAAAAACAAACAAAAACTTCTTTTAGAGCATTTCATTTCTAAAATATATATATATATATTTTTTAACTGAGTTACCATGAGACACACAGTTCCAAAGTTGTTCACGATTGGGTTTCAGTCATACAGTGTTACCAGTATACATTTTCCCCCACCAATGTCCAAGTTTCCCTTCTGCTACCTCTCACCCAGCCTGCCTCTATAGCAGGTTCTTTTCTTCTCTGTCCCTCTCCCTCTCTCTCTCCCTCCCCTTCTTCCTCCCCGTCTCCCTCCTTAGTGGCTAGCTTCCAACCTTGGACCAGTCCCCTGGCCCTTGTTTTTTGTTTCTGCTGTCTTTGGGCATTAGTCTCACACTACATTTTTTTTTCTGTCCCACAGGTGAGTGAAATCATTCTATATCTGCTTTTCTCCTTGTGACTCATTTCACTCAGCACAAGCATTTTAGATCTATTGCAAAATCAAGAAAAGGAACAGTGGCTACCCCTATGTTTCCTGCCCTCACAAATACGTAACCTTCTACAACTAAGATGGGGGTCCATTGTTATCACTGACGTACTTACACTTGTACATGATGGCCAGCCAGAGCTTAGCATCAGGGTTTGCTCTTAGTGGTGTATGTCCTACGGGTTGCAATGAAGTGTATTCATCTGGGGCATGAGAGCACCGTGGTTTGGATGCTTGCCTTGCATGCAGCTGATGCAGGTTTAATCTGTGGCATCGCCAGGAATGATCACTGAGATAGAGCCGGGAGTAAATCCTGAACATCCCAGGTGTGGCTCCTCCCCCCCCAAAACCCCCCGCAAAAAACCAACAAAAAGATGGACCCATCATTACAGCTATCAGACAATATTTTCATGCCCTGTGCCCTGGACCAGAGAGATAGTACAGCAGGTAGGGTGCTTGCTTTGCACTTGGCTGACTCGGGTTTGAGCCACACAAGTTGTCATACATGGTCCCCTGCACCCTGCCAGAAGTGACCCCTGAGCCAGACCCAGGAGAATGTACTAAGCACTGCTGAGTATGGCCTAAAAACAATGAAACTTACAATCATTCATGCCCCACCATGGACCTCTGACTGCCACTGATCTCAGGGCCCAACCCTGGTATGATTCCTGGCTCCACATATCCCCTGAACTTCACTGGATGCAGCCCTGGAGGCCCCCAGCACTGCAGGGGCGGCCCCGGGTAATTCTCAGCCCCGCAAGGCCAGAGCATGCCTTTGCTCTTGTATCTTGGAATCAGCATATGATTGGCTGAGAATCACCAGCGGGGCCCATTGGGTCCTGAGAACTTGTTGGGAGCCTCCCAAAAGGAAAACTCAAAACCATAGTGTTGCCTTTTCCAGAAAGTCCTGTAACCAGAGTCACACCATGGCAGTTGTCACACCATGGGCAATCTCTTCAGGTTGACTTCTTTCACTCAGTAGCATTCACCTAATGTCACCCCATGACTTTGATGAATTGATGGCTCTTTACTTCGTGTTTTCTCTCTGTTTTGTTTTGTTCTTGTTTTTGGGCTGTGCACACAGGGGTCTCCCTCCCAGGAAGAACCGACATCTTAATACTATTACACATTCCTACCCGTGACCATGAAATAGCTCTGTTTTTACTTAGTTATTCCATTTGTTATCATTTTCGTTTGTTTAGTTTCTTCATTTTGTTTCTCCCTTTGTCATGCACTCCAGCCCAGTGAGCACTGCTGGGTGTGCCTCCTTCCCTCACCCACCGCCACAAAAAAAGTTTCAATGCTTATTTGATGATGCTCCTTAGTGATCTTGTGACCAGTTTCATTCTGGTCAGTGTCAGCTTCTCTGTAACTTGATCCCAGAAACCCTTCTGGAATCTAAGGGAGAAAGTACTGATTCAGGGGCTGAAGAGACAGTATAGTGGGTAGGATGCTTGCCCTGTATGAACCTGACTTAGATTTGATCCTCCAAGTTCCACAGGGTTTCCGTGGAGTGATCCCTAAGCACAGAGCCACAAGTAAGCCCTAAGCACAGCCAGGTGTGGCCCCCAAATAAAACAAACCAAAAACCTCTGCATATAAATAATAAGAAAATTATGAAGTTTGATTATTGATTGAATACATAGTTGCAGCACCTACAGACTTACCAGTATTTTTTTTGGGGGGGGAGGGGCACACCTGGTAATGGCCAAGAATTACTCCTAACTCTGCACATAGAATCACTCTTGGCAGCACTGTCACCTAATATCACCCCTTGGGACCATATGGGATGCTGGGGATTGAACCCGTGTCAGTCACATGCAAGGCAAGCATATGCCCTCTGTACTATCTCTCAGGCCCCTATAATTACTTTAGCGATTTTTAGAACATTTCTTCTTTCTTTTTTTTCCTTTCCTTTTTCTTTTTTTTTTCTTTTTTGATGGGGATCAGACTCAAGGCTTAACAACTTGTAAGACATGGGACCTACCACTGAGTCACATCTTTATGAATTTTTTTTGGAAAAAAAAATTTGGGGGGGTGGTGACACACTCAGCATGCTCAGGGGTTACTGCCATCTCTGTATTGGGGAGGTCACTCCTGGTCTCCATGTTCGGGGAGCCATGCAGTGCCAGGGACAGAACCCTCGTCCCCTTACACATACAGCTTGTATTTATCCTGTTGAGCTCTCTCTTAACTCTGGAAAACTATTTAATTTGAAAATATTTAAAGGCTGAATAATGAAAGGCCGAAAACATACTTCAGCAGGTAGGGTGCTTACACGCGACTGACCTGGGTTTGATCCCCAACACCCAAGATGGTCCTCTGAGCACTGCCAGGAGTAATTCTTGAGCACAGAACCAGGAGTAAGCAGCCAGAAGAATACAGCAAGTTATAACCCAAAAAACCAAGAAAAAATATTAGAATAATGAACCTTCATGCACTCTCACATGGTTTCAAGAATTATAAAGCCATGTTGATCTTGTTCTGTCTCTATTATTCTCCCTCACTTTTTGCTCTTATGTTCTTTTTTTAAAAAATTTAGTTATTTATTGCTTTTTGGGTCACATCTGGCAATGCACAGGGGTTACTTCTGGCTCTATACTCAGGACTTACTCCTGGCAGTGCTTAGGGCACCCTATGGGATGCTGGAAATCGAACCCGGGTTGGCCGTGAGCAAGGCGAACACCCTACCTACTGTGCTATCGCTCCAGCCCCTGCTCTTGTGTTCTTATCAGTAAATATTGTAAAATATAGCCCTGAAAAATAAGGGTTTTTGAATTCTGACCATGAAGTACATTGACTCTTTTTTTTTTTTTTTTTGGCTTTTTGGGTCATACCTGGCAATGCACAGGGGTTACTCCTGGCTCTGCACTCAGGAATTACCCCTGGCAGTGCTCAGACCATATGGGATGCTGGGAATTGAACCCAGACTGGCCGCGTGCAAGGCAAACGCCCTACCCGCTGTGCTATTGCTCCAGCCCCGAAGTACATTGACTCTTAAATGGTTTATAGATGTCTGCACCGCACTGTCCTTCCATTGTTCATCGATTTGCTCGAGCAGGCCCAGTAACGTCTCCATCATGAGACTTGTTTTTACTGTGTTTGGCATATTGAATACGTCACGGGTAGCTTGCCAGGCTTTGCCGTGCAGGTGAGATATTCTAGGTAGCTTGCCGGACTCTCCGAGAGGGGTGGAGGAATTGAACCCTGCTTGGCCAGGCTGCCTGCTCGCAAGGCAAATGCCCTACCGCTGTGCTGTCGCTCCAGCCCCTGCTCTTGTGTTCCTATCAGTAAATATTGTAAAATATAGCCCTAAAAAATAAGGGTTTTTGAGTTCTGACCATGAAGTACATTGACTCTTTTAAATGGTTGATAGATGTCATTTTTGTAAAAATGTTTCAAATGTACTTGCATCCTTAATAATTTTGTAGAGCTGCACAACTTTTCCAGAAGGGGGCACTTGAAGGCTAGAGGAATTTAGATGTTCGGAAGAGGAACGAGGAGAGAACCTTGAGCTTTTATCACAGCCTGGAATAATCAGTCTCTCCCAACACTGCCTTTTGAAACTCTCTTTGGTTCAAATAGATGCGAAACAGAAGATGCGACACGCCTGGAAATCCTGGTTGATCTACGTGGTTTTTCGTAGAACCAAACATGAGATGCAGAACACTGCCCTAGAGTTTAGGCAGCAGAATATTTTGTGGTGAGTATGTTCATTCGTCCTGTACATGATCAGTTTTACCTCACATTTGCTTTGTGCTGTGAAGATGCAGCATTAGGACCTATATGAAGGGGCTGGAGAGAGAGTATAGTGGACAGGCACTTGCCTTGTATGCGGCTGACCCTGGTTTAGTCCCTGGCATCCCGTATGAGCCCTGCCAGGAGTGACCCCAAGGCAGAGCCAGGAATAAGTCTTGAATACTTTGGGTGTGGCCAAAAAACAAAACCAAAAAATAAATAATTAAAAAATATATAATTGAGTTGTTACTGTGTCTGGCATATCGAATACTCTCGGTAGCTTGCCAGGCTCTCCCTGGAGCAATAGCACAGCGGGTAGGGCGTTTGCCTTGCACGCGGCCGACTGGGGTTCGATTCCCAGCATCCCATATGGTCCTCCAAGCACTGCCAGGAGTGATTTCTGAGTGCAGAGCCAGGAGTAACCCCTGAGCATCGGCTGGGTGTGACCCAAAAAGCAAAAAAAAATATATATATATATATATAATTGATATCTAATTAATAAATAGTGATCATTTGTTCAACTACAAGATTGGGTTTTGTAAACTTTCATTCTCACCATAAATTGTAAGATGATTACTATTACATGAATTAAGTTATATGGGAAGTCTTAGGAAGGTTGATCAGCTTGTTTTAGCTCATATAAATTGTAATTAGCAAAACCAAGGCTCACATATCTTTTTATTTATTTATTTGCCGTTGTTTTGGGGCCACACCTGGCAGTGCTCAGGACTTACTCCTGGTTCTGCACTCAGGAATCACTCCTAGTGGTGCTCAGGAATCGTATAGGGTGCTAGAGATTGAACTCAGATCTGTCACATACAAGGCAAGTGCTCTACCCTCTATATTATTGCACCAGCCGACATTTTTTTTTTCTTTTTGAGTCACACCGGGCACTTCACAGGGGCCACTCCTGGCTCTGCACTCAGGAGTTACTCCTGGTGGTGCTCATGGACCATATGGGATGCTGGGAATCGAACCCAGGTCAGCTGCGTGCAAGGCAAACGCCTACCTGCTGTGCTATCTCTCCAGCCCCACCAGCCAACATGTTTATCTTTCTAGTGCCAAAGCTCATACTCCAAACTGCTGCCTTGCTTCTCATCACTATTGTCCCCAAGTGGGAGATTTAATCCACCTTGAAAGCCAGAGCAGCTTCATAATGAAACTGTTTCCAGTGTACATTTTTTTGTTGTTGTTTTGTTGTTTTGTTTTGTTTTTTTGGGTGTCCTCTAGACTCCTGACTAGAACCATAGCACTGTAGCACTGTCCTCCCGTTGTTCATTGAGGTGTTCGTGCGGGCCCAGTAACGTCTCTTTTGTGAGACTTGTTACTGTGTTTGACATATTGAATACGTCACAGGTAGCTTGCCAGGCTTTGCTGTGCGGTCGAGATACTCTTGGTAGCTTGCCGGGCTCTCTGAGAGGAGTGGAGGAATCGAACCTGTCTAGGCCGGGCCAGCTGCGTGCAAGGCAAATGCCCTACCGCTGTGCTATCGCTCCAGCCAACTAGACTAGAACCATATTAAAAGAACAATTCTGGGGTTGGAGAGATAGTACAGCTGCCTTGCAAGCGGCTGATCTGGGTTTGATCCCTGATACTGTATATTGTCCCCGGGGCCCTCCGGGATGATCCATAAGTGCACAGTCAGGAATAAGTCTGAAACACAGGATGGTATGGCCCAATAGCTTAAAAAAAAATGCCCTGCATGAGTGATCCCTGAGTGCAAAGCCAGGAGTTAGCAGCCCTCAGCTCAGCTGGGTGTGGCCCCCAAATAAACAAACACACATGGGGTTGGAGTGATAGTCCAGCAGGTGTGATGCTTGCCTTGCACTCAGCCGACCCAGGTTCGATCCTCATTGTCCCCGATGGTCCCCCAAGCACTGCCAGAAGTGATCCCTGAGCACAGAGCCAGGTAACCCCTGAGCACTGCCAGATGTGGCCAAAAAGAAAACCAAAACACAAAACAAACAAACAAAACATCTTTATTTCAGGGCTGGAGACATAATAGAGAGGGTAGGAAGCATGTAGCCGACCTGGGTTCAATCTTTGGCACTGCACGGCCACCCCATAGCCCGGAGGCTTCCAAGCTCTGCCAGATGGCCCTTGGTGGTCCCCAGTACTGCACAGCCTGGGCAACTCTATATTCTTGAATCCTACCTAGCACTGAACCATCTGGCAGAGTTGGCTGAGTATCACTGGGAGAGTGCCCTGAGCTTCCTGAACACGGCTTGGGAAGTCCAAAAAAAAAAAAAAGTCATTTAAAAATAGAAGCATTTTTTGAGGTTTCTAAAATTTATTCTGCAAACATTTTAAATGCTTAGTCAGAATGCAGTTCTTTTAGAGTCTATGAGAATATTTTTACATAATTTTCTTTACACAGTGTTTTTATTAAGGGCTTAAAATGTTCCTGGTAGTACTGGAGAGATAAGGCGCTTGGTTTGTACCTGACCAAGCCTGATTCAATTCCTGCACCACATATGTTCCCCTGAGTGCTTCCAGGAAGATCCAGAATCATGAGCAACTCTGGTGTGACCCCAAAACAAGAATAAAATGTGCCTGTTACTGTTTTGGGTGCTGGAACTGTGTGCACGGAAACTAAAATTCCCTAAGTGCTTAAAAAAAGAAGTAATGTAGGAGATTTTGAAGTGAATGAAGCAGTTAGTATGGCGTAGGTTAGGAGGTCAGATTGTGGTTAGTGAAGACAATTTGACAGGTAACAGATTCCCATTTCCTCACATTGCTTTTCTATCCACACTGCAGAGCTTGGTAAGCTCCCCGTGACGTATTCGATATGCCAAACACAGTAACAACAAGTCTCACAGTGATGGAGACGTTACTGGGCCCGCTCGAGCAAAATCGATGAACAACAGGAGGACAGTGCTACAGTGCTTTTCTATAGCAAAGTAGAAAGTAAGCAGAAAAGAAACCAAGACTGGGAAGAAACCATGGTCAGAAAGTAGGAAGAGAAGGGAGCCTGCAAGACTGGAAATCTGGGGCTGGGGAGATGGTTCAGAGGGCTGTAGCATGTGCTTAGCCTGACATTCAATACCCAGCACATGTGGTCCCCAGGAACCAAGCGCCTGTGCCTAGAATCTATCCTCCTGGGCAGTGTTAGATGTGGACCCCTAAACAAACAAGAGACCAGAAACCTAAAATCTCCTTTTTGGGGTAGATTTTTCTATTAACTCTGATTTTTAAGTGTCAGCAATAATATGTGTGTGGGGGCAGTGGAGGCTTGTAGGATCACATATGCCTGCAAACCCAGTTCAGCCTCATGAAAAGCGAGCACACAACCTGCTGTATAGACATAATATCTATAAAATATATATATTTAAAGTGGTGTAGCTTTTCAAGATAGAAATCCAGAACAAATGACTGAAGTGCACATAGACATTAAGAAGCTCCTACAACTTCTTGCTGGAAACAAGTAAATCCTGCAAAGGCTCTACACAATCCTGTGAATAATGAGATTGTTCATTTTGACTTGCTCTGTGAAGATGTGTCCCTGCAGTACTTCATCCCTGATTTGTCATAGAAACAATTTATATATGTGGAAACTCAGTCGTATACTTGTCATACAACTTGTCATATACTGGAGAAGCAGCAGTGTTCTAATTATTTGCATTTTTATGACAGCATAAATCCTGTACATTTCGCTTATCTTACCCTTATAATACAATTTTTCGGTTTTGTTTTTGTTTTGGGGTCACATCCAGTGCTGCTCAGGGTTTACTCTAGGCTCTGGTCTCAAGGATCCTGGCAGTGCTCAGGATACCATATGCAGTGCCAGAGACTGAACAGGGGATTGACCATTTGCAAGATAAGAGCCTTACTCACTATACTATCTTTCTGGCCCACTGTTAAAATATTTTAAATGAAAATAGAACTAATGAAGCACAGTTGGATAAACATATTACTTCATTTATCTTGCATACTTCATATACCTTGTATTTCTCATGTGTTTCATTTTTAAAGTATTGAAAGAAAAGGTAGAATCTTGTGTAAACACACAAAAAATAAAAAGGCCGGCGGTCAGGCCGCTTCCCCACTCCAGGGAGGTCGATGGCGATGGTCAGGCGAAGGAAGGAAACGAGGCCAAGCTGGTTGGTCTTAGTAGCCGTTTATTATATGGAAGAGATGTATGTCATGGAGGCCTCAGGAATCCTCGAGCATGTGCGCCTTTGTTCTCTCCGCTTCTGTCCTCAGACCCATCTTCCCAGGTTCTCTGATGCACGTGCTCTGATGCACGTGTCCCCCCAGAGAGCCCTGAAATCTCCCTTATATAGATCATAGTACCTCTAAAGGGCGCAATATAATGATGTCATCAAAAGGAGTTACAGAAAGAACACTGAGGCGGCAAACATACATTATTTCCTTACATCCCCAGGCCAGTAATCCTGGCCTCACCTTTTCACAAACTACAAGCACTTAGATTAGCACAACAAAGACCAGTCTGCTAGAGCTTGGAATCTACATCTCCAAAAAAGCAGTCTCATCCAAGCTAGTCAGGACACACAGAAAACTGCTTCTAGGACGTGTTTCTCCTCTCCTTGTCCAAACAACATATAAGCATACATAATATTAATCATTTCGTATGGACACAGTAAGAAATACTTTGAGCTTATAGAATTGCTCTCCTAGGGCCATCTCGATCTCAGACTGCAGTGCTCAGGCCAGATATCTTTCCTATTCCTAGCAGCAGGGCCCTAGTCTCGTCGTTACTTTTGGATCATGACATCATTTGCCTATGATCAAACTCTTAACTTATAGTTAAGAATCGTGGCACCTTGGCCTGGCCCATCGCGATGCCAGGGTAGCACATAACTTACCGGCTTGCCCTGGTTCCATCCAGTCCCACGTCGGGACCCTGCCCTTGGGGTACTAGGAAGTGAGGGCAGCTGAGGCTTAAGTTGAGAAGGCAGATGCCCAGGAGTGAATAATATTCAAAGCCAATCAATTCCTAAGTTATAAAGCATAATATTAATTAATTGTCTTCCTGTATCTATACAAAAGGACATTGCATTAAAGTAAACTGCTCAAAGACATAAGGAGAGGAGGAAGGCAATATTGACTTACAGTACAGCTTCAGTGTCTAAGAAGGATGAGACCTTACAAATTGGTTGGGGAAGAGAGCATAGAAGTGGTTACAGACAGACAAAGTAATGGGAGTGACTCGGGAGCACTGTGATGGGTACAATCTGATAAACTTAAGCTCCGTGTACTCCAACAGAATCTAGTTTTTTTTTTTTCCTTTTTGGGTCACACCCAACAATGCTCAGGGGTTACTCCTGGCTCTGCACTCAGGAATTATTCCTGGCGGTGTTGGGGAGACTATATGGGATGCCGGGGATCGCACTCGGGTCGGCCGCGTGCAAGGCAAATGCCCTACCCGCTGTGCTATCTCTTCAGCCCCTTCAATAGCATTTTTTAAAATGAATCACTGTGAGATACAGTTACAGACTTACAAACCTTCATGATTACGTTTTAGTCATACAATGATCGAGTACCCATCCCTTTACCACCAGTGTTCCCAGTATCCCTCCTGCCACTCCCCCATTCCCCTCCAAATAGCACTTTTTAATTGAACTTATAAAAATCCTGTATTTAGAATTAGTGGGGTAATAAAAATTTGCAAAAGTATTGTATGCTGAGTATGACATTTTCTTGCCCCATGATGCTTTTGCTTTGTTTTCTCCAACTCATCACGTTGTAGCATTCAGTTTTGGGAGTGGACGCTCATTTCCCTGAGCTTATCACTCACTCTTCTGGCTGCTTTGGTTGCTCAAGGGAATGTCTCCTCAGAGTGTGGCTGGAGTTTTGTTGTGAGATAGAGTCTAGAGTTGACTCCTGGCCCTGGCTCCCAATCTTTGTTCCTTCCAAGTGTTTCTGTAATTTGGAAATAACACTGAGGTGTTTGGAACAGGGAAAAACGAGACCTCTGGAGTGTTTCTCATTAAGCGCCGATAACTTACTTAGTGTCCATGTACCCTACAGGCCCAAATTCCTCTTGAGTCTTGCTCCTTTTCCCAAGGCACATCCGTCACATTTCCTAGTATGAATAAATCTTCCTTTCCTTGGGAAGCAGCACATCATCAATGCCATTTTCATGTCACAAGAAAAAATTGAGGATAAAAGGGAATCACTTAGGATAAACGGAAGAAAAAATAAATCAAAAAGGTTTTTATTTTTTCTGACTTGTTCCTGTTGCCAGAAGCAATAGCACAGCGGTAGGGTGTTCGCCTTGTGTGCAGCCTGCCCGGCCGAGCTGGGTTCGATTCCTCCGCCCCTCTCGGAGAGCCCAGCAAGCTACGAGAATATCTCGCCCACACAGCAAAGCCTGCCAAGCTACCCGTGACATATTAAAAAAATATATATATATACATATATAGATATATATTCAGTATGCCAAACATAGGGCTGGAGCAATAGCACAGCGGTAGGGCGTTTGCCTTGCACGCAGCCAACATGGCCGACCCGAGTTCGATTCCTCCACCCCTCTCGCAGAGCCCGGCAAGCTACCGAGAGTATCTCACCCGCACGGCAGAGCCTGGCAAGCTCCCTGTGACATATTCAATATGCCAAACACAGTAACAACAAAGTCTCCAATGGAGACGTTACTGGGCCTGCTGGAGCAAATCGATGAACAACGGGAGGACAGTGATACAGTGATATATGCCAAACATAGTAACAACAAGTCTCAAAATGGAGATATTACTGGGCCTGCTCAAGCTAATTGATGAATAACGGGAGGACAGTGTTTTTGTTTTGTTTTGGTCCTGTTATTTTGGAAAATCAGTGTATTTGAATGAGTTTTCAAATACTGGTATAGACCTGGGGCTGGAGCTCTAGTACAGCAAGTAGGGCACATTCCTTGGTTCGACCCAGGTTCGATCCCTGGTACCCCATAGGGTCCCCTGAGCCTGCCAGGAGTGGTTCCTGAGCACAAAGCCAGGAATAAATGCCAAGCACTTCTAGGTGTGGCCCTCAGACAAAAATCAAACAATTAAAGTGGTGTAGGCCAGAAGAGCATGTCTAGTATTTAGGTTAGATCTGAAAACCAAAACCATCAGTTTGCAACCCGTAGTTGTCGGCTTACAGACTATCTGTAGATATTTTTTTTCAGCAGTTACTTTAAGAAGAGCTTATTGGGGGAAAAAATTTGCTCAAGGAGAGATGCCCACATGGGAGGGAGGAATTGGGGCTGGCGGGAGCTCTGAGGTCCTGCCCCCACAGCCCTTCTGTTTTCTGGGTGACCTTCTCTTACCAGTTCCTCCGTGGATTTGTTCTTTGACAGGGTCTGGTGGAAGGAGTGGAGGCAGCAGCTGGGGCGGGTCCGCGTGGACCAGGCCCTTCAGGCGTCAGCAGTGAAGCACAGAGCCCTGTGTGTCCAGCTGCAGGTGAGTCCCACAGACTTGGGGTCAGCTGTTCTCTGTCCATATTGTCAAGCTTCACTCATACATGCGGAGGGAAGAGCCAAATTCGCAAGCAGAAGACTGGCCGTCAGGATGATGGACCTTCCCTGTAGCACAGGGAGTGGAGGAAGGGGCCGGGAGCAGAAGTTCTTCAGTAGACAGAGGCCGCTGCTCAGAGCATACAGGGGGTGCTCCCTAGTAGTTTTTAGAGTGCTTCTGCTACTGGTGGACCTTGAAGGGGTTTAGGAATTAGTGACAGACTCTATTTACAGAAATAGGTTGGGGATGGAACTCAGTGGTAGAGTGCTCAATTTACATGTTCGAAGTCCTTGGTTTGCTCATCGCAGACACATACATACAAGTACTATATTCTTCGGGTCTCGTTATTGTTTTCCGTTAATAGGTTAGGGGGAAGGTTAAAAAAGAAAACCTTATTTTTTTTTTTTTGCATTTTTTTCCCCTTTATTTTATTTTATTTTTTTTAAAGTTGTAGATTTACAATTTTTTGTGCTTTGGTTTCAATCATACAATGATCAGATACCCATCCCTCCACCAGTGCCCATCTTCCACCACCATGGATAATATCCCTCCCACCCCCATCCCCCCATCCCCCCTGTCTCTGTGGCAGGGCAATCCCCTGTGTTCTCTCTCTCCGTTTGGGTGTTGTGGTCTGCAAAAGAGGCATTGAGTGGCAAACATGTTCAGTCCATAGTCTACTTTCGACATGCATCTCCCCTCCTGGGAGGATCCTCCAAACATCCTTTATTTGGTGCTCCCTTCTCTATCTGAACTGCCCTTTCCTCTAGGATACCCGGCTGGCCTCTAAGTTATGGAGTAATCCTCCTGGTGCTGATCTCAGCTATTCTTGGGTATTAATCTCATACTTTGTTACTTTATATCCCCCAGATGAATGCAATCTTTCTATGTCTATCCCTCTCTTTCTGACTCATTTCGCTTAGCATGATACTTTCCATATTGTACCACTTGTATGTAAATTTCATGACTTCATCTTTTCTAAGAGCTACATAGTACTCCATTGTGTAGATGTACCAAAGAGAAAACCTTATTTTTATCGTAGAGAATTTTGTTTTGTTTGTGTTATTTGGACTGTCTCTGGCTACATTAATGTACTTCGGTATCTGTACCCGGGCTGTGCTTGGGATTGACTCTGGGTTGGCCACATGTAAAGCATTTTCCCTACTTACTGTACTGTCTCTCCAGTCCTAACACAGAAGATTTGTTAAGGGGCCAGAACATTTGATTCTCGGCATCCCATATGGAGCACCGCCAGGAGTAATTCCTGAGTCAGAGTCAGAAATAACCCCTGAGCATCACTGGGTGTGACCCAAAAAGACAAAAAGAAAAAAAAAAAGAAGAAGAAGAAGAAGAAGGTGCTTTTTTAAGGTAGACACTAGCTTTTGGTTAGTTATAAAGGCCTAAGTTTTGTTCCAAAACTGAGCTGTAGTACAGCTTTCTTTGTGACCTTTGACAGACTAAGTTTCTATCATTCTTTCTTATGTGTTGGCGACTCAGAGGACTGATAAGTTCGTTCTAGACAACAGAACAGGGAAGAGGCAAAGGGAAGAGGCAAAAAAAAAAATGTAGTTAGTATGGAAATAATATCTTTTTATCTGGGTGGCATTTTGCATCAATCTTGCAAGTAAAAACTGTGTATTCAGATTGCATGCAAATACATTTGTAGATCAGAGATCAAAAACACACAGACCTTGCAAATAAAGATTTTTTTGGGGGGGGGCATTTTGTTTTTGGGCTCCAGTTACCCTTATTATATATTTTCTAAGGCTGCTTTCAGATTACAATGGCATAAAGATGTATGTAGCTCAGGGCTAAAGCATTTGACTGCGGTCTAGAAGGGCCCAGTTGAATAGTTTCAACAGAAAATTGGTTTACAAGGCCTAAAATATTAATGGGGGAATGGAGCAATATCACAGCGGGTAGGGTGTTTGCCTTGCATGCAACTGACCCGGGCTCAATTCCAGCATCCCATATGGTCCCCTGAGCGCTGCCAGGGGTAATTCCTGAGTGCAGAGCCAGGAGAAACCCCTGTGCATCTCCGGGTGTGACCCAAATAGAAAAAAAATAAAATAAATGGAGGGCCTGAGAGCCTGGGGCTGACCTGGGTTCAGTCCCCAGCATCTCATATGGTTCCCAGGGCCCTGCTGGGAGTAATCCCTGAGTGCTGCCAAGTATGGCCCCAAACCTAAAAATAAATATTGCTGGAGTGATTGACTATGGTATATCTGTGACCCTAAAATATTTATTATCAGGGTGTGGAGGGAAGGATGGTGGGGTGGGGGGAAGAAAAAGAAAAATATATTATCTGGCCCTTTAATTAAAAAAAAATAGGTAGGCCAGGGATTATAGGTCTGAGAGTTGCCATATGCTTTGCATATATGAAGCCCTGAGTTGAAGCTTTGGTGCCAAAATAAAATTTGCTGGCATCTGAACTCATAAGGTCTCAGAATCAATAGCCAAAAAAGGAGCTTTTTTGTTTGTTAAAATTTGATTTTGTGGGGCTGGAGCAATAGCACAGCTGGTAGTGCATTTGCCTCGCACGCGGCCAACCCGGGTTCGATTCCCAGCATCCCATATGGTCTCCTGAGCACTGCCAGGGGTTATTCCTGAGTGCAGAGCCAGGAGTAACCTCTGTGCATCGCTGGGTGTGACCCAAAAAGCAAAAAAAAAAAAAAAAAAATTGGGTTTTTTTTTTTTTATTTGTTTTTGGTTTGAGGATATTCCTTAAACTCAGGGGCTACTCCTAGCTCAGAGGCTCTTTGTGGCACTCAAGGATCAGGCAGTGTCAGGGACTGAACCCAAGCTTCCTGCATGCAAGCCATGCACTTCAGCTCACTGAACTGTGTCTCCAGCCCCTTGGTTTGGTTTTGAGGCCACATCTGGCTATGTTGTACACTACTCCTAGAAAAGTGCTAAGAGGTTGCTCCTGACAGTCCCCTGGGGACCATATAGTACCAGAGATTGACCCAGGGTTTCACTTGCAAAGTGTGCACTTCAGCCCTCTAAATCATCTCCCTGACCCAAGACATAGTATTTTTTGCCAGTGATAATAATAGTAATAAGGAACCGACGAGATAGTATGGAGGGTTCAGGTGCTTGCTTTGCATGCAGCTGACCTGGGTTTGATCCTTGGCACTCATGTAATCCCCCTGAACACTGCCAAGAATAATCCCTGAGCACAGAGCCAGGAGTAAGCCCTGAGCACTGCTGGGCATGACCGCCTAAACAAAATACTAATAGTATTAAGAACAGCAGAAGCATTGTTGTAGTCTTGTATGTAGCATTGAACTAAGTGCATTAAATACATTATCTCAATTTTCTTTCCTTCTCAATTTTCTTTTCAGTGTGCCTTTTGGGTCATACCCGGAGGTGCATAGGGGTTACTCCTGGCTCTGCACTCAGGAATCACTCCTGGCGGTGCTCCGGGGACCATATGATATCGAACCCAGGTTGGCTGCGTGCCAGGCAAATGCCCTACCCGATGTGCTATTTCTCCAAGCCCCTAATATTTTTTAAAATTTGGCAAGTTTTGTGCTGCACCCAGTGTTGCTTTGAGGCTACTCCTGGCAAATTGCTGGGACTTTGCTCTTGGCAGTGTTTGGGGACCATGCAGTGCCAGGAAATGAACTGGGTCTTCTGTACGCCAAGTATGCACCCTGGCCATTTGAACTAGCTTCAGTTCATGTCATTATTACCAAAAGGTGGGAGATTCAGGATCTGGAGAGATAGCGCAGTGGGTAGGGCACTTGCCCTGCATCCAGCTGACCTGGGCGTGATTCGTAGCACCCCACATGGTCTTCTGAGCATCACCAGGAGTAATGCCTGAGCATCGCCACATGTGTCCTAACCCCCCCTCAAAAAAAAGGAGCCTGTATCCAGACTGGACTGGGAAACTGGTTCAGGCTTTATTTTTTAAATAATCTCTGTTCCTCTCCTCTTGTTGTGTTGACCAGAGGTTGCAGCACACGGGCTCATCAAAAGCCTCACTTCTGTGATGCTCACACATATTTTGGATGTAGTGCTCTGAGGGGTTTCACATTTGAGTTATGCTCACACCACTGATTATTGGTGGTGGTGGTGGTGTGTGTGTGTGTGTGTGTGTGTGTGTGTGTGTGTGTGTCAGGGTGGGGGGAGTATGCCCAGTGGTGCACAGGGCTTACTCCTACCTCAGAGCTCAGGGATCACCACTCCAGCCCTCCCCCACTTTTTAGTTAGAAGTATTACTGCAATGTTCTTTTTTTTTTCTTTTTGGGTCACACCTGGCGATACTCAGGGGTTACTCCTGGCTCTGCAGTCAGGAATTACTCCTGGCGGTGTCTGGGGACCACATGTGATGCTGGGAATTGAACCCAGGTCGGCCATGTGTAAAAGCCCTACCTGCTAAACTATTGCTTCAGCTCCATATGCTTGTGCAAGTATCTGAGAGTTTCTCTAGTCTGGTTCCGACAAGTGAAGTTGTTGAGTCAGTGGCCGGTCAGCTCTTTGTGAAGTGTGGCCGGTTGCTCTCAGGCCTGTGCTGGGGCTCTGCTGATATTTCAGTCTCATCCTTTGCAGCCTCCTCAGCACTTCTCAGTGCCAGGCTTGGTCTTGTTCACCGCTCCAGGAGATGTGAAGTGGGAATTGTTGCTTTAATTTATATTTCAATGGATATGGTCGATGGTGCTGAATCCTTTGCAGAACCCGGCTTGCTCGCATGGTTGTCCTTCATCTAGTGTTCTGCCAATCCTACTTAGGATGACTCGAGTGAACAACTTGTAGATGACAGACAATAGGCAGATCGGGCGATAGTTGCCAATGTCATGGATGTCTCCCTTCTTGAACAGTAGTACGGTCCTGCTGGTTTTCCATTGGGACGGAACCTTGCATTCAGACAGGTAGCGAGTGAAGAGCCGAGCCAGTGTATTGATGAGTACTGACGGCAGGTTCTTCAGGTGTTCAGGTCTGACCTT